ATGAGGATGTTTGAGACCCTAAAAGAGGAAACAAGAAAATCTCTTAAAGAAATGGAAGAAAAAACAAACAAAAAATTCAAGAAATAAGTAATTATCTTAAGAATCTAACAAAAGCCAAGAAAAAACAACCAAACAACTGAAGGAAGCACTCAAAACAGTTCATGGCATGAAAGCTGAAATAGAAACAATAAAGAAAACATAGAATGAGGTGATGCTGGAAATAGAAAGGCTGGATAAATGATCAGGAACTAAAGATGTGAGTATAACCAATAGAATACAAGAGATGGAAGAGAGAATCTCAGTTGTTGAAGACTCTCTAGAGGATATACAGTCATCAACCAAAGAAAACCTCAAGTCCAAAAAATCCCTAACACAAAATATCCAGGAACTATGAGACACCGTGAAAAGGCTGAACCTAAGAATAATAGGTATAGAAGAAGGAAAAGAAATATAGCTCAAAAGTACAGAAAACATATTCAACAAAATCATAGAAGAAAATTTCCCCAGCTTACAGAAGGATATGCCTATGAAAGTACAAGAAGCTTACAGAACACCAAATAAACTGGACCACAAAAAGAAGTCCCCTTGAAGGGCCTAGGCCTGGCCCAGGATGATGTGGTAGACTTTGGGGAGCCCCTTTTGAGGGCCTTACCCTGCCTCGGGAGTGGAGGGGGATGGCTAGGGGCAGGTGGGATGTTGGGGGGAGGGGAGAGAGAGAGAAGGGATTGACATGTGAAGAAAGTTCGTTCCTAATATGAACTAATAAAATAAAAAAAATAAAAAATGAAGCCCCTCACCACATAATAATCAAAACACCAAACTTACAGAATAAAGAGAAAATATTAAGAGCAGCAAAGGAAAAAGGCCAAGTAACATATAAAGGCAGAACTAGCAGAATCACACCCAACTTCTCAATGGAAACTTTGAAAGCCAGAAGGTCCTGGATAGATGTCCTACAAACATTAAGGAAATATGGATGCCAAACCAGACTATTGTATTCAGTAAAGTTTTCAATCCCTATAAATGGAGAAAACAAGATATTCCATGACAAAACCAGATTTAAACAATACATATCCACAAATGCAGCCCTATAGTGAATTCTGGAAGGAAAACTCCAACTCAATGAAGATAACTACACTCACAAAAAAATAGGCAATAGATAATCCAAATTTACCAAACAGGAAAAGAAACAGGAGGGTGAAATCCACACGCAATGATACCATCAATGATAAATCCAAAAACAAACAAGAACCAACAATCAATGGTCTTAACCTGCCTATAAAAAAATACAGGCTAACATAATGGACATGAAGACAGAATCCATCTTTCTGCTGTATACAAGAAACACATCTCAACCTCAAAGACAGGCGTTACCTTAGAGTAAAGGGTTGGGAAAAGATTTTCCAATCAAATGAACCCAAGAAACAAGCTGGTATAGCAATCCTATTATCTAACAAATTAGACTTTAAACTAAAATCAATCAAAAGGGATGAAGGGCATTCACCACTAGACAGGACCACCAGACAGAAACTTAACAAAGAAACAAAGGATCTAACAGAAGTCATGACCCAATTGGGATTAAAAGACATCTACAGTACATTCCATCCAAACACAAAAGACTATACCTTCTTCTCAACGCCACATGGAATCTTCTCTAAAATTGACCACATACTTGGCAACATAGCAAATCTCCACAGATACAAAAAAATTGAAATAACCCCTTGTATCTTATCAGACCACCACGCTTTAAAGTTACAATTCAACAGCAACACAAATTGCAGAAAACCTACAAACTCATGAACATTGACGAACACACAATTGCACCCATCCTGGGTGGAGGAAGAAATTAAAAAAAAAAGAAAGAAATTGAAGACTTCCTAGAATTCAATGAGAATTTAGACACAACATACCCAAACTCATGGGACACTTTGAAAGCAGTGTTAAGAGGTAAGCTCATAGCATTAAGTGCCCACATGAAGAAACTGGAGAATAGTCACACTAGAGAATTGGCAGGACAACTGAAAGCTTTAGAACAAAAAGAAGCAAATTCAACACAGAGGAGTAGAAGCCAGGAAATAAACTGAGGGCTGAAATCAATAAAATAGAAACTAGGAAAACATTACAAAGAATCAGTGAAACAAAGAGTTGGTTCTTTGAGAAGATCAACAAGATAGACAAACCTCTAGCCAAACTAACCAAAAGGCAGAGCGAGAGCATGCTAATTAACAAAATAAGAAATGAAAAAAGGGATATAACAACAGACACAGAGAAAATCCAGAGAATCATCAGGTCATACTTTGAAAACATGTACTCCACAAAATTCAAAAATCTTAAGGAAATGGACAATCTTCTGGATATACATCACTTGCCAAAATTAAACCAAGAACAGATAAGCAGTTTAAATCAACCTATAACAGCTAATAAAATAGAAGCACTCATCAAAAGCCTCCCAACCAAAAAAAGCCTAGGGCCAGATGGCTTCACTGCAGAATTCTACAAATTCAAACAAGAGCTAATACCAGTACTCCTCAAATTGTTCCACACAAAAGAAGGAGAAGGGACATTGCCAAACTCTTTATACAAGGCTACAATCACTTTGATACCCAAGCCACACAAAGATACAATTAAAAAAGAGAACTACAGACTAATATCCCTCATGAACATCGATTCAAAAATATTCAACAAAATATTGGCAAATTGAATCCAAGAACACATCAGAAAAGTCATCCACCATGATCAAGTAGGCTTCATTCCTGGGATGCAAGATTGATTCAACATAAGAAAATCCATCAATGTAATCCACCATATAAACAAACTGAAAAAGAAAAACCACGTGATCATCTCAGTAGATGCTGAAAAAGCCTTTGACAATATCAACAAACCCTTCATGATAAAGATCTTGGAGAGAACAAAAATAACAGGAACATATCTAAACATGATAAAAGCAATCAATATACAGCAAACCAACAGCCAAGATCAAACTAAATGGAGAGAAACTCAAAGTGATTCCTCTAAAATCAGAACAAGACAAGGCTGTTCACTCTCTCCATATCTCTTCAATATTGTATTTGAAGTTCTAGCTAGAGCATTAAGACAAGAAAAGGAGATCAAGGGAATACAAATTGTAAAGGAAGAAGTCAAACTTTCACTATTTGCAGTTGATATGATAGTCTACATAAGTGACCCAAAAAACTCTACCAGGGAACTTCTACAGCTGATAAACACCTTCAGCAAAGTAGCAGTATGCAAAATTAACTCAAAAAAATCAGTAGCCCTGCTATATACAGATGATAAATGCAATTAGAAAGAAATCAGAGAAACATCACCCTTCTCAATATCCACAAACAATATAAAATATCTTGGGGTAACGATAACCAAAAAAGGTGAAAGACCTATACAGTAAGAACTTTGAGTCTTTAAAGAAAGAAATTAAAGAAGATACCAGAAAATAGAAAGATCTCCCATGTTCTTGGATAGATAGGACCAACATAGTAAAAATGGCAATCTTGCCAAAAGCAATCTACAGATTCAGCACAACACTCATCAAAAAATCCAACCACACTGAACCTTCTAGAAGAGAAAGTGGGAGATACCCTTGAGCAAATTGGTACAGGAAGTGAAAAACTCACATGTCTTCAGAAGCTCATGAAACTTACAAGACTCCAAAACCCTCTCCCCAAGGAGATATAGTTAATAACAATCCCTGAGGAGAGGGACTCTCTCACACCTGGAGGAGCCTGCAAGTTCAGACCCGAGCTCTAGAAATACAGTTTCTATGAGTTGCTGACCATTGCAGGGTGGGTGTTTTGAATATGCAGCTGCTTTACATGGAGCCATTCTCTTTCCTGTAAGTAAATTATCACCTGTGGTCTGCAAGCAACCACAGTAAATCCATTAGCTCATTAAGCTGGACCTGAGTGGAACCATGCCTTTGGATTGTCAACAGTACCCAATCTTGGATTAATAGACACTATTCCTTTCCAGGAAAAGTCACATGACACCTGCCCCTCTCTTGATCTGATAGACTCTTTTGCAATATCTGAGACAGCACAAACAGCTATTGATAGAACCAGTCATTAATTAGAACCTTAATTTTCTTCATATTGTTTATGTAGTAAAATACACATAACACATTTACCAGTTCCATGACTTATATTTTTTTCTTTTTGAGATTATAACATGGTTACATCATTTCCCCCTACGCTGCCCTGCCTCCAAACCCTCCTGTGCCCTCTCTTTTTCAAACTCTGAGCCTCTTTTTTTTCATTGTAGTCACATATATTCTTAAATATACAAATATGAATTGCTTAGTCCATACAATATTTCTCATATTTTAAGAGCATACTCAATGGCATTAAGCATAGTCAAAGTGCTGTGCAATCACTATCCAGACTTCATTCATTCCCCCAAAGTCTGTACCATTAAGTATAACTAAACACAATCCTTCTCCTCTAACAACCTTCTAAGTTCTGATTATACTCTGTGCTCTCTAAGTGTGAAACTAGCAGAACAGTACAATCTGTGTGTCTTAACTACTGGTCTGTTGTGGGAAGAGACACCATGACCAAGCCACTCTTACAAAAGAAAGCATTTAACTGGGAGCTTGCTGACATTTCCATCATGGTAGGAGGCAGATAGGCATGTGATGGGGGAAGTGCTTCTGTGTATTGTTTGCCTTATTGGATGATAAATAAAATACTCTTTGGCCAATGAGGCAGCAAGTTAGATGGGCCTAGGAGACAAAGAGGATTCTGGGAAATGTAGTAAAGAAGTGGTGATCCACAGGAAGTGACATAGCAAGGAAACTCATATATAAACAAGGGCAAAAAGGAAGTGGGCTCCTTTCTCTTCCTCAGAGTCACCATGTGAGCCCGGGATGAGGACACCAACAGAGGGCATCCAAAATAAGATAAGTCTTATAAAATATATAGATTTATGATAATTAAGACTGAGCTAACAGATGAGAAATCCTAGTCATTAGCCAAGCAGCATTTGTACCTAATATAAGTCTCTGTGTATTATTTGGGGCCCTACCTCGGTGGACAGAACTCAGGCAGCTGGCGGAAAGTGCCCCCGTGGCGGTAGGGCTCAGGTGGCTTTTGGCGGAAAGATTTATGGTAACAGGTAATGCATTGGAGCAGTGTCTAAGAGTTTTATGTCTTTCGATCTGCAGTGAGCATAGAGAGCAAGACATTGAGCTTGGTGTGGGCTTTCCCAAACTGTTCCACTAACTGGGGAACAAGCATCCAAACAGCTGGTGGGGGCCGTTCTCATTCACACTGCATACCTGGATGTGCCTTACTACACTTGGCAGGTTGTTTCTAGGATTCTTACCTATGGCAGCATGTATCAGAGTTTCATTCATTTTAAAGCCGAATATATCCTGTTGCATTTTGTCTTAGTTTCTTTCCTTTTTTTGTGACAAAATACCTTGACCAAAGCAACAAAGAGCAGAATGACTTTATCTGATTGTAGGGACATTAGTTAGCAGGAACTTGGAGTAGCTGGTCCATAGTCAAGAGGAGGGAGGCAATGCATGCATGCAGGCTAATATCAGCTAAGTAGCCCCATTTCCTGCAGTCCAGGAGCCAAAGCCCACAAACAGTTACACACACAGTGGGTTGATTTTCCTGCATCAATGAAGAGAATTAAGATAACCTCTAACACATTCTTACAGGTCCTGATTCTACGTTGGGTCAAAGTGACAATTAGAAGTTAACCATTTTCCATTATTTTTGTCAATGCAAGAGTTCAAACTTCTCCACAGACTTGCCTGAATCAAATTCCACTCTTTCTATTTAAATATTAATTATTGCAATGCGTGTTTTTCTCCCATGTAAAAGTCATTTTTCTTTCCAAAATATGTTGGAAAAATGAATTATCTGCTCATTTAAGTTATCCAGCATTCATCAAAATAAAGATTAAAGCACTATTTAAAAAACATTTTTTTATTTAAAAGTTTTTTTCATTTTACATGCCAACCTCAGTTCCCCCTCCTTCCCATTCTCTGTCCCCATCTCCTCCTTTCCCACACCCTGTCCACTCTTCAGAGGGGGTAAGGCCTTTCTTGGACAGTCAACAAAGTCTGGCATACCAACTTGAGGCAGGGCCAAGCCCCCTCCTTGTATCAAGTCTGAGCAGGGTATCCCACCTTAGAGAGTTGGCTACAAAAAGCCAGTTCATGCACCTGGGATAGGTTCTGGTCCCACATGATCAAGCCACATAACTGTCACCCACATTCAGAGGGCCTAGTTCAGTCCCATGCAGGTTCCCCAGCTGTCATTCCATAGTCCATGAGCTCTCACTAGCTTGGGTCAGCAAAAACAAACAGACATAACACAAAAACAAAAACAAACATTTTCTGTTTTCTATGTATGTTGTAACTTTAAAACATAACCTCGGTGAGAACGGGGAGGACTACACAGTCCCATTTTTCTTCTCCAAAAAATACATAAAATTTGATGATACAATGTTATCTATAGAGACTTAAGAGTTTCTGAATGTAACAAATACAAATAATGTTATTTTCCTTTATCATTTCCCTTTTCACCTTCATTTTTCTTACATCCACAACCTAATGAAGTATCAGAGTTTACAAAAGAAACCCTGGCCATAAAAGTGATTCACAAGATGTCTGCTGCCTGATGACCCAAGTTCAGCTCCTGGAAGCCACATGGGAGAAGGAAAGAATCAACTTGTGTAAGTAGTCCCTTGACTTCCCCATGCTAAACCTGTAGCACACATGCATATCTCTCTCTCTCTCTCTCTCTCTCTCTCTCTCTCTCTCTCTCTCTCTCTCTCTCACACACACACACACACCACACACACCACAAACACACATACAGGTACAAATGCAGGCATACAAATAAATATAATAACATCTAATAAACATCTAATAAAATGTCTTTATTAAAAAGTATTTCTGACTTTTGACTTTTCCATTTTATTTTGAGTTTCATGGCAAAGCAGTACTCATTAAAATATTCTATTGGATAGATGAATATAGAGTTTATAAAAGGCAGAGCCACCAGAGAAAAACAAGGAGACTACAGTATACACTTAACCTTCAGTGTATCATTACTGTTGGGTCTGTCTGTCTGTCTGCTGTGGCTGGGAACTGGCTTGTTTCCCCAGGACTTACATGCTAGCAGCTTGTGCTCACTGTGAAGGTGTAGAATAGCAGAATCTTTGAGGACTGGGGTCTAGAAGAAAGCAGTGATGTCACTGAAAGTGGCACCTCAGAAAGGTTCTGATGAACTTGACTCAGGACCTCAGTTAGTCATAATATGACCAAGGTCTCATAAAATGAGGTCACCCCACAAGCTTGCTTCATTGGCATGTAACTGTTTCCACCACTGTTTCCCTGCCATGCTGTGATACAATCACCAGTCTACCAAAAGATGGGACTTCTCTCTCTCCAACAGTCAACCTTCAAAACTTGCATTATAAAGTGCTCAACCGTGACTATTCCATAGCACAACAGAAAACAAAGACACTGTCAAACTCCTTTCTCTTTTCCCAGTTTCCCCACGGTTTCAACTACATATGACAAAGAATGCATTAGTCCCTGACAATAACATCGGAAGGGATGCTATATGCCAATTTTGCACAGCGTTCTTTTAATTTTAAATTTTGAAATAGCGACAGATTCATAAGGAGTTGCAAAAACCAGAGGGAGACTGTATGCCCCCTTCTGTCATTTATAATGGATAACACCTGTCTACCATGATACACCACTCAAATCCAAAGTTCATATTTATACAACCCATAGCACTATCCATTACAGCTATTCATGTGTGGGTTTATAATATAGTTCTCCTAATTTTATCCCATGAACAAATTGATAACTCTCAACTCCATCATTATACCATCCATGCTATAGTGTAATCCCATATCTAAACTCTGCCAGCCTCAAATCTGTGCTTCATTATCAATTTTTTTTTTAATTTCAGTACTGTTTTATAAATGTATTAACACAATGTGCAATTGTCTGGGGCTGGCTTTTTTCACTTGGTTTCGTGCTTTTGAGATTCAGGATCTTCCAGCTTAAGTATAACCAGGGCTTCCCAAACATTAAGCCACTGACTGACATCTGTGTTGTACCTGGTTTGGGCTCTAATAAGGCAGCGGAGATTGTGCATGCTCGGATTCCCTGTCTGAGCCCATATTTGCATTTCTCTTGAACAAATGTCTGTGAGCATTCTAAGTAGCTGTGCCTTCTCCACTCTGTATCTTCCACCAGTGAGGTGCAAATGACAACTCACTAGGGGGTAGCAAATTGAGGTAGAGAATGCCTGAAGGCTGGTCCTAAATAACTAGACAGAGCAGGACCTTCTCCCTGGAATGCTAAACTGCGGACAAAGTTACTACCGTATAGGGGTCAATCTACTGGAGCAGTTTGGCATATCTGACCTAACCCCTTAGCAAATTAAACACAATTCAAGTGCTATGCAATCTAATCCAGATACTAAAAACATGTCTGTTACAAAATTACATTCAATACAAAGAGTTGTAACCACTTATAAAGCTACTTGAGAAGCAAATCATTATCGTGGCATTACCACAGTAATATAGATGCTACAGGGATAAAATCTTAGTGACCCTCAAAGGTGGCTCATCCACGTTCTTTGTTTCCAGGCTTCTCCTTCGTGTCATCATCCCACTGAATTTAACACAGAACTTCTGTTCACCCATTCCCAAACATGGTGGCTGTCAACATGGGCCACATCTGGGTCACCGAGGGGGCTTGTTACAATCCAATTGCTCCCATTCCCAGAATTCCCGATTCATTTGCATTTTAACAAGTTTCCTAGGTGATGCTGAAGCCGTTGGGTCTGGAAACCACACTGAGAACCACTGACCATAAAAACCAGAAGAAGCCACGTATACTGTGGTCTAGAATAATCCTTCTGTACATGGTGAAATATGTGTCTTGCCAAGGCTCCTCCTTATTGGTTTAATAAAAGAGCTGACTGTCCAATAGCTAGTCAGGAAGAGATTTGTGAGAGAGCCGAACTAGGATGTTGGGAAGAAGAGGGGCAGAGTCAGAAGAGTCATGAGCCACATGGTAGAATTTAGATAAGAAACATGTTTGCCTTCCCCCTTCTTCACCCTCGTCTCCCCTCTCTTGTGCTACCCCCCTCTCTCTTGCTCTCCCCCTTTAGAAAAAAGAAACATGGGTTAATTTAAGTTGTAAGAGCTACTTAGTAACAAGCCTAAGCTATTGGCCAAGCATTTATAATTAATACTAAGTCTCTGTGTGATTATTTGGAAGCAGCTAATGGGACAGAACTGATCAGCAGTCCTGACAAAAACCTTTGCCTATAACAGTGTCTTCAAATAAGAAAAGCAGTGTTTGCAGAGATAACAACAAGGGATCTCAAGTGTGAGCCAAATGTGCTGAAGTAGCTTGGCTTGGTAGCACTAACTCTCGAGAGGCAGAGCAGGGCTTTGCTCTTTTCTGATAGAGTGGGGACTTTGTTCTTGTGTGGGTTTCACTTCTGGGATTTTGGATGTCAGATCTTAAAAGTTATCTAATTTAATCTCCTTGAAAGGCAAGAAACTCCCCCATATCCCTGATAAATCATCAGTCCACACTCTTGTACTTGTAGAAACGGGTAGCTCACCCTTTTGGTGTTTTCAAATAGTTGCCATTTCTGATGGGGAAAGTCCAGCTAAGCCTTACTTTAAAATTATATGAATTAGTATCCAAACTCAGATATAAGAGCATGAAACAACCTTTTGTTTCTCCAACAGTCTTTTAAAATACCTCACATAATTTCCTATTGAGAGAGAGAGAGAGAGAGAGAGAGAGAGAGAGAGAGAGAGAGGGAGAGAGAGAGAGAGACAAGTCAGTCACAAAGATTCAAAGACGTGTTACAGCAGGCCCGGCAGAACAAAGTGAGTAGGTTTGGGCTCATGAGTCAGGTTAATGGCTATTAATGGCTATTAGCCTGAATGCCCTCATCTGCAGTATGAAAATGGGTAACCCTGAGTCCTAGGTACTCCAGATCAAATAATGAACACCAGTCCCTCTCTAAACTGAGATGCAACTCATTAGCCATTAATTTTATTAATTAATATTCCCACTTTCTTTGCCTAATATTCTTTATAGTGTTTTCCAACTTTGGTCTTTCAAATTCTCCCTAAGTATCTAATGTATAAATTCCCGTTTGCCTCCTTCCAACTATTTTAAATAATACTGGGACACTGTGAGTCAGAGTAATCTCTGTTATAAAGTTTAAAATGCCCTGTAACAGAGATGTGAGCATGGAATAGAGGATTAGGGATACACATGGAAAATTCTGCTACCCCATTGGTCAAGGTTCAAGATTGGTTCTCTCTATCTGAACTCTACCTCGATGGTAATAGGATCCTAGTTTGATGAAAGAGTAACCAATCATTCTGGTTGTGTGTCACTAAGGTTTCTTCAACACCCTACACCCCAGACAATCTCCCTACAGTCAATATCAGAGATTTGTACCTTCTCAGCTTTTCTTTCCACAAGCTCGAAAATGTAACCTTTTCTTAAGCCTTAAAAATATTAATTTCATTCGTCCTCTATTGCACCAAAGAGACACCAAATAGGATGTTTATCTTGTCTGTTTTGCTCATTAGCTCGAATTAAAAAAAAAATCAAAAGATGTCCCATCCTTTGGTACATCCAGATGCTGGCTTCAGCATCCCAACAGTGACATCCCTTTTGACTTCAAGCTGATTGAAACTTCCCCAGGAAGACTGGCAGCAGCTGCTCCTCTTAGACTGTGCCAACTTGTCCTTCAGTGGCAGGCCTAGCTCTTGCTCCTCCAGCCTCTGCTCCCATGTCTGTAATCACCGCTGACTGACAGAATTTTCTGTTCTAGTCTCTGCACTGGCCTGCTGAGGGATGTCTTCACTTTGCATGAAGCTGTGCAAGCAGGGAGCCATTGACATTAGCAAAGGTACCTCAGTGTTTACTAGTAAAAGGCAGACACTCCCACTCACTTTGCCTGCTGAGGGTCTTCATTCACAAGCACAGTTCCTTGCACATGGCCCCCAAAGGTGACTATAAAGTCAGAACCCAGGGCTAAGTAATGCTTCCAGAGCTATGAGGCAAACCATTAAGCCATGCTTAATAATTTCCCTCATATTCAGAAAATACAAAACATAGAAAAAACATAGCAAATAAGTGTTCTTTTTCCCTAGTTCATCTAAACTGAGATGCAACTCAGTTCAAGCCCTTTAATAGTTATCACCTCATTTTTAAATTATTAATCTAGTGTCAAAAGTCCATATGTATTATATTTGTGTGTGTGTGTGTGCGTCCTAAATTGTTTTATTGTGGGGACGGCAGTATTAGGGTCAGAACCCAGGGTCTTGAGTTTGCTCTTTTGTGTAACTACACTCTCAACCCCAAATCTCCTAGTTCTTTTAATTTAAATATTCCTTGTCTATTTTTGTATTTTATAGAACTAATTTCTTCCTAAAGAATCCAGGCCTGTCTGTCAAAATGTCTAATTTTGCTGGCTTGTCTGATTACTCCCTCTGATTAGATTGGGTTTACTATATTTGGCAAGAATATGACCTGTATGACACCACATCACAACCAAGGACACATAATACAAGATTGTCTCCTTCCCAGTGAGTGGCCTGCAGGAGACAATCCCCACTACACAGACACAGTGTTCACTTTGCAACAGACAAGCTGTAGGAAAAGCTGGGGCCCTGTGACAGCCTTGCTTCTCACCACCTTTCCCCAAAAGATGGTACTGATCTTTGTCTCACAAGTTACTGCCATGCCTTTTCTGTTTTAGCTATTATAAATTCTCAGCTTAAAAAAGGAACTGACAATTAAACTGATGTAAATATCATTACAGATTTTTGCTCTCAAGTTTTTATTTACTATCTTTTAATCTAGTATGATAAGTATTCATTTTTGATGTTGAAATTATCCAAATTTGGCAAGTTATATTTATTTAATGCCATCTCCCAGTGGTAGACATAGTCTCGGGTTGATTAGCTTTCTGTTGAGTTGCTTTAATAATTCAGTGGCCTTTCACTTTAAAAGGATTTTGAAATTTCTACATAGTTTAAGTAGTTGGAAAAAAATATTGTTCACCTGATGGGATCTTGAAAACAAACAATCTGGGATGTGCACTGGAGACATCAAATCATACTATGCTTCTATGTTTGACAGAAAATAGTTCTTTAATTCAATTTTAATGGGGTTTATTTCAACACATTATTTGTATAAACTATTAATGCTATAATAAAAGTATTAGAAAAAATAACTCAAGTTTCACTAACATCAAAAAATAAAACCTTTGTTTTCAAGTTATCCCTAATTTTTTCATTATTATATGCTTAATACATAAATAATTATTTCTTATTTCCAACTATTAAGCAACAAGGTCATTGCATTTTCAGAAGGAGCAGATAAGAGTTTCAAGAAATTTGGGTTTAACATGCTACATGATAAAAGCAAGCCCTACCACAGAGAAAAAAATACTTAATTATTAATTTGTGTTATTCCAATAATAGGGACACATGATAAAATGGAACACAGCACAAAGCAGCTTTAACTAATGCTTTCTATAACCTGAAAGGATCCATTTCACATCTCAAAGTCTCTTCATGGCTTCTGAGCACCACTTGAGAAAGTTCAAATCCACAAAAACAGCATCCTTTGTTGATGTAGCTCTTTTTGTCTTTTTAAATAATTTTTTATTTAAACTAGAAACAAGATTGTTTTACATGTCAATCCCAGCTCCCTCTCCCCCCTCCTCCCCTGCTCCCACCAACTTTCTGTCCCAACCCCTTTCTGCTCCCCAGAGAGACTGAGGCCTTCCATGGGTGATCATCAAAGTCTGTCACATTATTTTGGGCAGGGCCTAGACCCTCCCCCATGTGTCTAGGCTGAGAGAAGTGGGCTCCCAAAGTTCATTTGTGCCCTAGGGATAAATACTGATCCACTACCAGAGGCCCCATAGATTGCCCAGTCCTCCTAATTGACATCTCGTTCAGGGGGGTCTGGATCAGTCCTATGCTGGTTTCCCAGCTATCAGTCTGGGGTCCATGAGCTCCCCCTTATTTAGGTCAGCTGTTTCTCCAGCCTGGCCTAGACCCCATTGCTCATCACTCCTCCCTCTCTGCAACTGGATTCCAGAATTCAGCTTAGTGTTTAGCTGTGGGTGTCTGCCTCTGCTTCCATCAGCTACTGGATGAAGGCTCTAGGATAACCTATAAGGTAGTCATCAATCTCATTGTTGGAGAAGGGCATTTAAGGAATAGGCCTCTCCACTATTGCTTAGATTGTTAATTGGGGTCAACACTGTAGATCTCTGGGCATTTCCTTAGTGCCTCTAAAGGCAAATTTATATCAGTCTTCTGCAGAGACCAAGCCGTATTTGCATAAACATTCCTATCACCAAGTGTCTGTCAGGTAACTCTCCTTAATGAATATATTAATAAAATTTCATGGTATCATTTTATCAAAGCTTAATTAACCTACTCTAAATTGTTTGACATCTTTGTTAGGTGCTTTTAACTGTTTGAAGCAATAGACAACATGAGCTGTGTCTGTTTCACCTGGGACGCAGTGAAGGCACGGAGAGTGACCATTTGCTACCAGAATTACTGGCTCAAAAAATCAGAACGTGTTAAATTTTGAGACTTGTCAGTAATGTGTGACTCATTTTCTCTGAGTCTTGGTAACACTGTGATGTAAAAATTATTCATCCATGCTGTTTTTTGATGACAGAGGAAAGTCAAGTTTAACTTTTGTGAGTAGGAAACTGAGAATTTTTCAATGTTTAGGGTGTTCTACATTTTTGTCAGTAGCTACTGCTTTGTGTTTTTATTGAATTACTGGCCCTTTGTTTATGATTTTTAAGTACTGTTTATTAAATATGGGAATAAGAGATTCCTCTGTTAGCTAGATTTATCTCTTCTCTAGTTTGTCTATCATCTATCATTATAAATGTGTAGTCACATTGATCAATCTCTACATGGCATCTGGTTAGACTTTCCCCATTTGTTAATCATCATTGTTGGATAACATTTTTTCTAATATTTTTGCAGTAATATTTCTACTTTAGAGTCATTTATTTCTTGGTGTTTGGTATAAAGAATAATCAACTCTAACTTTTTTTTTCTAAATTGTTAGTCTGGTGGTCAGAATACTATATGTTTAATTCTTCCCACTTTTCTAAGGAAGTCATTAACAGTTACACTAATTTTTCAAATTTTGTTCCATCACTTGGTCTTTTACTAATGTTATCTATGTATATTTTGGATCTCATAGGCCATCTTCTTCCCATAGAGTTAAGGATTAGGGCTCTAAAACTACAAAGTCTGGGTTAGAATCCTGGTTTATCCTCATACTGTGAGACTTTGGACAAGTAATTTAAATCTTTCTGTGTCTCCATGACTTATTGTAACTAGGATAATAATTTCCCCATAGAGATGTCAGGAGTCATACCTGATATAGTTCGTATAGAATGTTTATAATCATGCCTGGTGAATGGTAAATGTTGAATAAACATTGTTTATCTCTTGCAAACATTTTCAGACTAGTCTCTGTATTTAACTTTCTTTTCTGAACATCAGGAATGATTTGATGACTTTCACACCCTCCTTTATAAGAAGCAGCCTCTAGTATGCCACACAGTAACCTGCAACTGTGAGAATCCATGCCCTTGCCTAGTCTCCTCTCATATTAAGTAAGACTGGTCCTTGTAAGAAATAGATTTCAAAATTGGTGACATGTGGGACTCAAAGCCAGGTTAACAAACATATGTGAAGGGATTTCTTTTACCATTTATTAATTATAAAACAAGTAAGATAAAAACCTGAGACAGTTACCATGGTCACAATGCCCCTGCCACCATTCGCCTTCTCCAAAAGGGCCTTGCAACCTTCCAGTCCCCTCCTATTCTGTTCTCTCTACTTGGGTCTCCAAGACTCCTTAATCGGTTTGGACACCTGAATGTGAACTCTGAGTCTCAGACCAAAGGCTCTATTCAATTGGATACGGAGCCAAACGCGTGCCTGCCTTTCTTCTAACCTTCTCTGGATCATTTGTCCAGGAGAAAGTCAGACATCACGCTGTGAAAACATTTAAGCAGCCTTTTCAAACACCACAGAAAAGGTATGGATGGCCTAACATGAACTATCTCTACCCCAACATCCACGGGAAAACCATATTGGAAGCAAGGGCATCTTCAAGACCAACCCCAGTTTTGAATGAAACTTCACATTAGACTCATTTAGAACCATCTAACTCCCAACAACCAAATCCACGGCAGACTGAAATTATATGAAATAACAAATATCCATCAGTTTATGACACTGAGTCAGAGTAGATGCATTATAAAGCAATATTCATATAACTATATACCTTCCTGTTCAAAGGTTTGTTTCTGGGACAGCCACTGAATTTATAGACTGATTTATAGGAAACGAACTCACAATTTAACATGCCCATGCCACTCAGGAAGAAAAAAAAAATTTAGCCTTTCCAATTATTCAAAATGTGTTTTAAAGTTTCTATGAGGTTTGTTTGACTAGGTCTAGCATATGTCTATTGTTGTCTTGTGGCTATTTTCTACTTTACCATTACATTCATTAGAATTAGGTTTATGTTATCAATTTGAATGCAATCATTTTTATTAATTTTGTGCCTAGTCAAGTTAAAACAATTTAACATTTTTAATAGCTGGGTGACCAATAGATTTTCTTTTTATTTATTCTTTTCTCAAACAATACCCCTCAACTGCAGCCTCTTCACCCTCCTGTCCTTCCGGTCCACCCCACTCCCCTAATCCCCCATATCAACTGCTTCTCTGTTTCCTTCAGAAAAAGAGCAGGCATCCCACAGATACCAACCGATCTCAACCCAACAAGGCGCAATAAGACAGGCACAAGTCCTCATATGCTCAAGTATGTATTCATACCATTTGAAAACAACATTGGCCTGCAGCTCTTCTGTCACAACTGTGTACTCTCCTTTGTAATTTCATTGCCAAGGTAATACATATCAACCCTGAAAGCACAGTTGGTAAAAAGACTTTACATACGGTGTCAGTGGCTTGTTTTCTTCCTTTCTTTGCAACAGTTGCATGGTTTTAAAGTGCCAATTCCTTCAATTTGAATAATTTTTTCATTCTAGAACATCTCATCTTAATAGAAATATAAAATAATTAAATATCAAATTACACCAAATCAAACCTTACTTTCAAGTTCTTAATGATAGGACTAAAAGTAGAAAAGATGGAAGTTGTTTGCATAGTTCATTATCTTTCATTTGTTACTATTAATCCTACTTATCCTTTAATCAAAAATAACTTTAACTCACTCATCCATGGACAGGTGAATTTGGAACCACAGAAATAAATAAAAAAACAAGCTTCTTAATTTAAAAAGTTCATAATTGAAAGGGAGCAATATCTTCCTTGGGAAAAGAGAATCTGAACAATTATTCTTTTTAATAACTTTCAAGAGTAATATAATTTCTAAAAAACATGGAGAGACAATTTTCAACATGAAACTGGATAGAGGGGAAGCAATGGGGGCACTTTTCTGAGAGCTGGGAAAATGAGCAAGCTATGCTACAACTGATAAATTGATTTTTAATAATGTTAGAAGCTTGCAAACCTTCTCTCTTCAGTGTACTGCACTAAGGGAATACAGAAGCAGGTGCTGGGACACCCTCTGAGGATTTTCAATTTCGTTATTATATTGGTGTGAAGAGAGAAAGCCAAAATAACAACCAGGTAGCGTAAAAGGTTCATTATCACCCAGAGTTGTTTAGTGTTGTTTTCTTTCTCTTATCTGTGGCTAACAGAACAACTAAGCACTTTATACAGAAGGCAAAATGAACATGTAAGCTTCGAGTTGGAGGCACTGCATTTCACAGATTCTAATTCTAGAAATGAATCTTGCACATAGAAGATAATGCTTCTTGGGAAGCCCCTTGTCTGTACTTTGCAGACAAATCTTATGCCAAGACTTTCCAGAGTGACTTATCACAACGCCAGGTTTATAAGCAGGTTTGATCAACACTAGCCGAGCCATCTCACACCAAACAGTGCAGGATTTACGAGAGTACCAACCATGACGATAACAAATAAGCTGGCCTTTTCTGTGCTTAACTTGGAACCGCAGACATTTTAAGCTCAAACCTTTTCAAGTCTCAACATCTGTTGTGAGAATGATGAAAACAATAGACTTGGGGAATTGGATTTACTGCGATGCTAATTTGAGTGGCCTGACTTAATGTAGCTACAGGATCTATATGAACACTGGCAGGGATGGGAAAAGATTATCTAATCCACACAAGGAATTTTTGTGATTGTTGAGACTGTAGATTCTGCAACTCCATTCAAATACCCTACTTTGCCCTGAGGCAGCATGGTGTAAAATGCCTTAGTGCAGAACTGGAGATGCCACTTCAGTTCATATACCCTCTGACTAGAATCACAGCATTCTCTTTTTAATAAATGTCCTGTTAATTTCCTGTGTTCTGTGAAAATTCCCATTGGACAATTATACCAATAATACGATGAATGTTTGTCTGCCATCAGATTCTCTTAACAACCACGTTGATATCTTGACAGGAATACTTCAGCCTTGTTTTCCTTGTAAAATAAATGGTATCTTCCTCTTTACTTTTGCTGACCAAATTTAAGAAACTGGTTTTAAGTTATTGCCATGTGTTGCAATCAAGTCCAACAGCACATGCTGAAAACTAATTTGTTTTTGAGAAAGATGACTGGCAAGCTGAGACTTGCATTGAGCTAAAGCACAAAAATGCCTTCAGGAGCTAATTGAGTCTCCATACTCGGAGTGCTCCTGGGTTTGAAGCACGCTGCCCTTAGATACGTCCCTCTTCAGGAGAGTTTCTGATAGGCTACTTAAATTTGTGTAACTTCTATTGAGCTTATGCTTTGATAAGTTCACATACACCTATAAAGTGTTCTCTTATAACCTCCTCACTGTCTCTGACCTTAATCCCACTTAATAACACGGTCCTCCCCATAGGCTTTGCCTCACATTAATGCCTGTTATTTTTTTAAGATCATCCGAGCTTAACCAGAATCATTTGTATGACCATGAGTCTAGAACTCTCCATCAAAGGCTGGTAGGATGCTCAGTAGATACACAACTGAAGACAATGCTGTCCCACCCAGAGAATCCAGCAGTAGCCAATAGTTCATCAGAGAGCTCTCAAGAATTCCTGATTGACTGCTGATGGGCACAGTCTTGTGTAGGCTCCTTACAGATATAGGTAGCAATGGCTCTGCTGGCTGTATCATGGCCAGAGTTCCAGATTCCACAACATGTCTCCATATCTCACAGGCTTTCTGACCACTCATCTGTGATGATCCTTCAGCCTTGGAAACATGGTGCAAATGTCCCATTTAAGACTGAGTGCTCAACCACTAATTGTTCTCAGAACCTTGGGGGGCCTCTTTCATTTCAAAGAGGAACTTCTCTAACTTGGAACCAAGATTAGTATTTCTCTATGACAGCTTGGTGCCAAGTCATCCCACTAAACAATATTAAGCTCCCCTGGGGGCTGAAGACCTCCTCAGCCAAGTTTGAAAAATAAACAAACAAACAAAATAACTAAAGTTACAGTGCCAAGTATGAATTCTGTCTTGTACTTTGGTGCTCAAATCCAATCATGAAGTAGTAGGTTACACCGTAACCTTCACACCACTACTGTACATGGATATCTTGCCTATCAGGTTAGCATATTTACCATAGTGTTCACATCTGGGTTAGACTGTTAATGCCCTTTTCTCCCCCAGGCATCTACAAAGTTCTGAATGACAATGTGAAAGCCGGAAGGCAGGCAAGAAGCCTCTGACTCAGATCTGGCTTGATTTCCTCTATACTTTGTGAGTGAAGTGTGTGTTGCTTACAGTAACAGTGCTGTCAACTAGTTCTAAAAGGCAAAGGAAAACAGTGGCAAGAACTTGTATCAACCAATCCTGGGCATACACCCAAGGACTCTGTATCCTAACATGGATGTACTGGGTCGAGCACATTCATTGTTGCTTTATTCACAATAACTAGGAAATGGAAGTGGCCTAGAAATCCATCAAATAATAAATGGATAATAAAAATGTGGGGGTGTACATACAGAGTGGAGTTTTATTCACCTATTCTAAAAAAAAAAAATTTTGAGAATTGCAGGTGAATAGACAAAGCAATAATAAAACTATAGTGAGGAAGATAACCCAGGCTGAGGAAGATAAATCCCATATTTTTCCTCATATACACAGCCAAGCTGCACAGCTCCGGAGTGGTGTGTTAATGTGGGGAACCTGTAGAATAAGGAAACGATAAAAGCTCCATTGGGATGGGAAGAGCCTTAAGGGAAGAGAAATAGCAGAACTTGGGTAATATGAAAATAGAGAAGGGGAATTTTCAAGTTAGAAAATTGAAAGGACAAATGAGGGGGGAGGGTTAGCCCAAATCATTTTTTAAGTGCTTTGCAACACTGGTGGGCAGCATTGTTTGAAAAAGGTAAAGAAAAAAAAACCTATGCAAACATT